TTCCGACTGTTCAGTTGGTGCATGCCCGCTTTGCCATGATCAGCACCACCAGCAGCAGCAGCAGCAGCGCCAAAGTTGTCGAGCGTGGTAGCCTTGCTAAACTTGCGCGACAAGTAGCTAGCTGCAGATTTGCTATTCTGCCTCTGAGCTTCGTTGCTCCCATTTGCGCCGTACAGCGGTCCGACATGACCTGAAGAGGACTTTTTGCGCTCCAGAGCTGCTCGGTCGATGGCGTTGCGTACTGCCGGCGGGCGGGTGGGCGCAGGTGGATGAGAGCGCGTGTGAGATTTCTGGCCAGCGCCTCGTCCACGCAGCACACACCGCCTCTCGCCACCACTCACGACCGCAATTGAATTTGCGCAAACACATCATGGCCGACCAGACTGTCGCCAGCACTAGCGCAATAGCCAGCACAGCTGTAGACGTTCAAGGGCACAGGCATCGAGTCGAGACCGGCAAATGGCGAAAAAAGGTAGCGCGCCAGAACTCACAGAACACTGTCAAGCTTTTGTACACCTCCAGGTACGCCCCCTTCCGACCTTGCCAAATTCGGAAAAGCCTGATGCACACACGGAAACGCGATCAGCTATTGCTGCTCAGCAGCGCTGATCTTGCGCTCGTCTCTTGCTCTGCTGGACTCACTTGTATGTGCTGCATAGATCGCAATGTCAAGGTCACGAGAGCACCGCTTGGTGTCAGTATGGGCACATTGCAGGCTTGATCACGCGCAACTTCTCCGCTGCAACCACATCGCCACCTCTTCGAAAGCTGCACGATACCAATTTCATGTTGACGCACCCCTCTTCCCATCCACCCTCTCCAAGGCCCCCCTTGCGACTCACAAATAAGCCCCAGCACAAAGAATCAAGCTCATAAAGACAACCACGCCCCACTTGAGTTCCCTCCTAGCGCAGTACCAAGCAAAGCCCAAAATGACGAGGGAAAATGGCACGGCTATGACGGTCAGCCAGTACTCTGCATCGTGGCCCTCCAACACCACCAGGACGAGCTGTCTGTGGTGGTGGTGCGGCGGGTGCGCGGTCGGCAAAAGGAAGCGCCCAATTCGTGGTCAGAGCGGCTCGAGGGTGTATGACGTCAAGGCGATACGTACAGACAATAAGCTATAAAAGCGAAAAAATCTGCTTCTGCGCTCGGTTCGTAGAAGAGCAAACAAGAATGAAGGCTATTCAGCAGCGCTCGCCCATCAACATCGCTACCCCGGTGCCCGACCCACCTCCCGCTCGCGAATACTCACTCAAAAGTGCGACAAAGACCTGATAATTCATGTGCGCTCTCTTCAAGTCCCTATCCGCGCCTACAATGTTCCTATAGACTTCCCAGCCAAAGTCTCTGTAGATGTACCAGCTCAACACGCTCAGCACGCCTGCAGAAGTGCCCACGATGACCGGGATGGCCGTCGTGAGGACCTGAACGGGCACAGTCTGACCCGATCCTTCTACCACGCCTGTGCCCAACACTTGACGGATCTCGGAGATCTGTATCAAGGAATAGACGAAGCTGTGCGGCCGAGTGAAATGTCGTGGACAAAGGGCAGGCTGATCAGCACTCACGAACGCCGAGCGGAATTCAAGAGCGAGTCTCGTTGCGGCACGAAGCACGACCTTGCAGGGCATACCCTGCCCCGTCTCTGTCACACCATTCTGGTCTCATTGCCTCCTTCCTGTCCACCAACACGCCCTCCAGCGATTTCTGCGGCGACTCTTTCAACCCCAGTGTGGCTTCCCATTCACTCACAAAGCAATGTTGAAGAGTACGAGTCCAAAGACGAGGATAGAGTTCCTATTGACGACAGCATCGACTGCCAGTGCGCTCTGATAAACGTGAGCCAAGCAAAAGACCATGACGAACACTGGCAGAGCAGGTTGTCTGCCATTCGCACCAGGTCCCACGATGCTCCCTTCTTGCGATTGGAAGCGACTGAGCAAGACAGCTTCTATGGAAATGTCCACCGTCGACTCTAGAAGCGTGACGAGCAGAAAGAGCTGGATGGGAAGACTTCGCGGAAACCAGCCAAAGTAACGCGATGCGCGCGAGGAGGAAGCCATGCCTAGCGCAGTGCCCGTTCCTTGGCCTCGCGTGCCCATGGTCGGGTGCGTCATGATGGATCGCGAAGGTTGCAATCTGGATCCACCTCCTCCTGCTCCGACGTGTTGTTCAGATCTACTGCCATAGAAAGCGGCAGCAGCACCGCTCGAAGGCGCATTCACGTCCTTATTCCTTCGCTCGTCGTCATACTGCGAAGCCCACTCGTCATCGTCAAAAGAGATGGTCGTGGGAGGTCTGTCCACGCCCGACACAAAGCTTCCAGTCCTACCTGCCCTACTCGGCTCCGGAGGCGAAAGCGGCCCAGCTTTGGAGGCGATAGCGTTCCATCCACCTGCTTGATCCTGTTGCTCTCTGGAGGTCGAGTGCGGATGGGCAATGTGCATCCCATAGTCTCCCATGACGCCATCTGCATCCGATACGTGAATGCCCGGCGTCGTGCCTCCCCTCTCCCATTCGCTCTCGGCATGGCGCACTGCAGGTCTGGTGAGGTCCACATCGGAAATTGCAGCGCCGTTTGAGCGACTTGCGAAATATCCTGCGCCTGCTGCGCTGCTGCGCTGTTCGAGCCCAGCGACATGCGTAGATCCAGAAGCATGATCGTACCTGGTCCTGTCCTGCGCCCAAGCCGAGGGAGCGCGAGGAAAATGTTGCGAAGCGTCTCGATCCAGTATTGTGCGGCTTGAAGTGGCATTGGGGGGGTCGCGGTAGGCATAGCCGTTTGCGTCGCTGCTGCTGGACGCCTGGCATTCACCGCCAAGATGAGGAGCCTGACTTGCGGCAGAAGAGCCCAGACCTCGCTTGGAATCTGCCCGTCGATGCATGCTGCGTGCTGTGAAGGAGCTGAGATGGGTAAAAGCGGCGCCTCAGCAAGAGTCGTGGCCAGTTTGACAAGGTGCAGACAAGCTGTTGCAAGCAGATTGAGCTGGAAATGGGATCAACCTGGTGCACTCTGACGAGGGAGAGGAGCGGGTTTGCATGTAGACGGGGGATGAGATGGGTGTGAGGAATGCATGCGAAACAGGATGCAGTGCGAATGCAGTAATAATTAAAGGTATCAATAGATACGCGCACTTGCTGCAACGAGTGCAATGGCTGTTGTGGTGAAGGGGAGGGGAGGTGGTAAGTCGACTTTGAGATTTGTAGTCAAATTGTGATTGTTATGAATGTGATTGCATGCTTCATCGCCTGTCAGACGAGCAAGCGGAGTGGGGTGGAGTGGAGTGGAGTCGAGTGTGAATTGAATGGTGATCCACAAAGTCGAATGTGAGTGAATGTGAGCGACAGGGCTAGAGCTGCGAACTCGAAACTGAGACTCAGACTGGTCCATCGAGAATTGAGCTCACGCAACGCACGCACGACCCACACCCCTCCTACAGCAGCAGCTATACGGTACAGCTGCATCCATGATCATCGCAGGGCATGCAGCACGTACTTGTATGTATGCATGCACCGCCCAGCCGTGCCCCTTGAATTGAGCCAAAAGCGACATGTACATTACACCATACTGCGCAAGTGCCCGCCAAAGTCGCGATGGTCCGGCGGCGTGCGCGGCGATGCAGTACTGTAATTCGTGATCCGTGATTAGAGAAATGCGCGCTTGGTTAAAATGGCCCGCCTACCTGCTGACTCCTCGTGCAAGACTGGACCATCGGCGCGCTACCCACACCAACGTGATGATGGCCGCGCGACGTGCGAATTCTTGATCACGAAGCGTTTTTGATGGGGCCTGACCCGTGCGGCGTCTATCCCGCGGTGGCAACTTGAATTAGAAACGTTGCCCAAGCATGGAATACATCACGTGACTCTACACCTGACCCCAACTTTTGGTGACCATTTTTGATTTTGATTCAAATTCTCGACGTGCGTGCATGCTAAGCGCGCCTTGGTCGACTGGTGGTCCAGAAGAAAGTCGCGAAGCATGCGTGTATATCTTTGATGACACGCTTGAAAGTGGGGTGAACAAATCATCGAGAGTGAATGAAATACACTTCCACACTCGTGACTCTCTATTCGGCGTTGCGCCTTCTCGCTCTCCTCTTCCCTTCGGCAACACCGAGCAAGGCAATACGTATCGCAGCAGCAGGCACCAAGGGGAGCACGTCAAGGAAAGCAACGGAGAAGAGCCCGCGGTGGGGTGGTCATGTCGACGATGACTTCGGCAGTAGTGGATGCCAATGCGGCACACCGCCTTTCGCCCAATCCGCAAGACGAGACCGAGGGCAAGGGCAAGGTGCCCATCCATCTGATCCTACCAGGTCCTTCATTCCTTCTTCCCGATGCAGAACGCTCCACAGCTTCCCCCTCTCCCGCCACTTCACACAATGGGCCAGCTCACGTGCATTCAGGCATCTTGACGCTTCTCACCGCTTGCAGCGTCACGCTACTTCAAGCCAGCAGCGGCAAAGTGATCGTTCGACTGCCATGTCTTCCTCGAGCCCATGCCGCAGCACCATCCCCAAGCGAGCCAAGGCAGGAGCAGATGATGATCATGCCTCGATTCGCAGCTTGGAGTCCTTCCACACCGATCGGAGCGCATCACACTTCGAAAGAGAGCCTCGGGCAAGGCGCAACAGCCCTT